ATTCTCAATTGTGGCCCTGACTTTGTCCTTCTTTCGAACAATCGAAGCGCCCTGGACAAAACCGTGTTGTCTCACCAGCACGGCCTCATCCTTCAGCTTCCCAAACTCATCGTACGCACGGAGCCTCAAGCTTTGACAAAGACTTGCGACGGCAGTTTCTATCAAATGAAACAGGAGCCTTCAGCTTTGACAAAGAGTTGTGACTGAACAATGCAAGGAATGCACTCTAATGACAGTGTTTTCATATTCGCTCACCAAAGGACACTGTTGTAAACACTTACGCGACGATCGTTTTGTTCCAATCATTCGACAAAAAATGCTAAATGAAACTCTTGCTGAAACTGTCCGGTCGGCGAAGCTGCTGAGGGACCCGCGCTTCCTGCAGGAGGTGCACTGGAACTGGTCTTCCTATGATCATCGAACTCGGTGGAAAGCCGCGTGCCGAGAAGCTCCTCAAGTTCATCCATCAACTCACACGCCGCGGATTCTGGAGTAGCCTTGACCTTCTCCAAGGCTTGCAACACCAGAGAGTCTTGGAAGCTTCGTACTTTTCCTGTACATCAGTGCCCTTATCCTTGACATCAGCCTTCTTCAACATCTTCGAGATCTTGGTAGACATCTCTTCTGCGGTGGTGAGTTTCGGGCTGAAATCCTTCGACAGCATGCGCCGACAATCGCTGGCCTGCACCCTGTCTGATGCGTAGGCCAGAGCCAGCAGCGTATGCCGAAACAAAAGACCCTGCACCTTCCAATCTTTGGAGTTCCCACTCAAGGCCATGTAAAAGTCTGCGCCCAAAGATTTCTTTGAGCTCACACTCTTCTTGATTCTTTCCTCGACCTTTCCCAAGAGCTCCTTGTGCATGAATCTCAGGGGGAATTGGTACATGTATGGTGTGGCCTCGACGCAAGCCAGTTTGGTTCTGCAGATCTCCTTCCGAACCTGGCTCCACTCTGGAGGAGAGGTGGACCTGTCAATCAGGCTCTTCATGCGAAGCAAGATTTGCCATTCATGCTCTCCCCTTTGTAAATGGCCACTGGTGTTGGAAGCTGATTGGATCAATTGGGCCACGCCATCTATCTCCAGAGCTTCTCTCGCAATCACCCTCCAAACCATGCCCTCCTGCGCAGCCTTGAAAAACTGTGGGTCATGGCTCTTGGCCCTGGCCATAGAGAGCCTGCCGTCAAGCACCAGCGCACACTCTGTCCCAATGTGTGCAACTTCATGGGCCAAACATCGTAAGGCAGCATTCGTATGTGAGTTTGCCAACGATGCATACCGCATTTGGGTTGCTTGGACAGGCGGCACGAGGCCCCGAGAACTCGTCACCAAGGCTTCATTGAATCCGAGCACCATGGCATGATCTGGATCTGAAATTTCCCCACAAATTTTATTCGTCTCTCTCGAGTCCCACCCAACCTCCGACAAACCGTCCACAAGTGCATGGACGTCGTGGGGTGACAACCGGGTGGCGCCCCACTTCATCAGGTCTCAACTGTATGGTCCGGACCAGACCGTGCTTGGCCAGCGCATTCATGAGCTTGTGCATCGCTTGCACAAGTTGCCCATCTTGGGCCTGCGTGACACTGGCCTGGATCTCACTCAGTGCCTCCGTGCTCACAACCATGGTTCACACAATGAGCGTCCCTTGCAACTCTTTGATCCCAAAGCTATAAGTCGGCGAGCTGCAAACGCATGCCCTGCACTCACGCAAAGGTTGCGAATGTTTGTCCAACACCCTGCGTTCATTGTCTTCAACGTTTCCGTTCAAAATGAAACTGTTTGATGCCCTGTCAAGTGCAACCCAATCCACGTTTCAGGATGTTTTCTTTCAAAACTATAGGACTTCTTGCACGAACAAATGGTTTCGCAACTGTGGCAATCAAATGAGGACATGTGCAAAAAAAAATTAGAAAATGACATCTTCCCTAAGACATTCTTCAAGCAAGTCAGGACAGAAAAGAATCAAGCAAGTTGGAAGGCGCGCCTCATCAATCTCGATGTCGCCAATGTTCACGAACCAGTGGGTGCATTGGGCCGGCGATCGGTGTGGAGTGCACGGTTTCATGACCTTGTATATTGTGCACGCTAGAAACACATTGTCAGAGACTTCAAAAATTGAATATGTGTGTCAGAGACTTCAAAAATTGAATATGTGTGTCCCAACATTTCCCTACTGCTAGCAACCCGAAACCTAACTGTACAAAGGTACAGCTCCCCTTTCCATGGAATGAAGCAATCATGCAACCGATCCAGCTTGATATGTTTATGATCGAGCACGGCCCGGAAATTGAAAAAACCGATCGCGCGCGCCGACAAACACTTTCCACGGCCAGCAAAATCCAAAAAAAGCGATCCCACGGACAAAAAAAACACAATTTTGGCACGGTTATAAACCTACTTATGAGTAGGCCAGAGTCGTTTATCTTTGTTGTGTAAACAAGACAGTCACGTTTAGCTAAGTGTGCTAAACAAGCCAACGCGATTAGCCCACTTCAAGTGAAATAGGCTAAACGCTATTAAAAAAGTATTTTCCATCTAATAAATATTTAGCAGGTTTGCCAACCATTTATCAAAAACCTAACTTTTTTAGTAAACAGGACAGTGTGGTTGGGCATCTTAACCATGTTTATAAATCTGATAACCCATGGTTGCCTCAATTGTAACCATGGTTCCGGCGTCTATGTAAACAGGTTCAATCGAGACAGAGGCTTAGCAACCACGACGGGCATCCAAGTAACTAGTAATTTTTTGCTGAGCACTGTGCTGGCAGGGATTGCTACTGTAAGAATATTGAATCTAGTCAAATTTTTGCTGAAGAGACTGGAACCGCAACAAGTAAGTTTCTTGTCTCCCAGGTCTGTCACTGCTGGTGTCCGCCCTTTTTCGGTGACCATGTAG